CTACAACCCATGTCTAAGCAAAAGCTTGTCGAGGAGCGAGGGGAAGAATGGCAGAAGGTACTGAAACTTTATTCGAGTATCGAGAGCTGTACTAAAACAATCAGTACATTCCAGTATCAAGAGCCGTACTAAGGGTGCAGTTTATCCCAGTACCGCGAGCTGTACTAAAAGTACTGAAACTTTCCAGTACATTCCAGTATGCCTCGCAGGTACTGAATACTGTGCAGTACCGCCAGTATCAAGCGCTGTACTGAAGCGTGCAGTGTTGCGCAGTATTACACCAGTACAGGATGGAGAGCAGACCTCCTCCAGAGCTCGTACTGAGCGTACTGATAGGTTGAGCGGAGTATCGAGAGCCGTACTATAATGATAGTGACAATATATACTACAGTAGTAGGGTTAAGAGACTGCTGTCTTGGTCAGTAGGGACAGCACAGATGCACAGATGCTCGAGTACCAGTAGTCAAGTTCCGCAGTACACTGGACACGGCAGTACGACGTAGTCGTGTACTTGCAGCAGGAGTGGGACTGTAGGACTAGACCAATTGGACGAGGCTGTGCCGCATTTGTGCCAGAAGATGACGTCACCAACACGCCCTTCGGTGGATTTCGGGTAGATACCGGGTAGATACGGGCAGTCGTACGACCCCTACCGTCCAGTATCGACACCCGTACTAAAGCGTGCAGTACGTTTATTCCAGTATTGAAGTCCGTACTAAAGCAGCCAGTACAGTATCGAAAGCTGTACTAAAAGTACTGAAACTTTTATTCCAGTATCGAGAGCTGCACTAAAACAGCCAGTACATTCCAATATCAAGAGCCGTACTAAGCGTGCAGTTTACTCGAGTATCGAGAGCTGTACTAAAAGTACTGAAACTTTTATTCCAGTATCGAGAGCTGTACTAAAACAGCCAGTATATTCCAGTATGCCTCGCAGGTACTGAATACTGTGCAGTACCGCCAGTACTATGCTGTACTAAACACACCCGTTAAATAATGAGCCTTATGCCGTTTTTTTTTTTTTCGACCTTTTCCGGCAAGGCCGCCAGTACAGCCCACCACCGTCACGTATGAAGGCACCTCCGAGTAGCTATAGCTATAGTCCTGACAAGTCCTTCCCGCTGAAAAAACGAAGGGAAATGAGGGCGTGTGGAGTTCTGGGCAGCAAAAACAGCATTGGAAAAGTACTGACCCAGTAATCAGGCTTTTTTCCGATGTAGGACTTTTTCCCATATCGTCCCCGAGCTTGTTACGAGGGTCTATGTATATGCCGCGGGGTAACGGACTCACTACCTTGCAGTAATCCATGTATCTGCAACGCTTTCGTACGTGGGTGCAGTCCATCATTTTGGACTTTGAATCCGAGGTGTCAACCGAAAAAAGGAAAGGCTGCTAATAGAACGAATGGCTGTTGGCGTGTGCATAAAGCAGCACCGTAGGTGACACAAGATACCACACCCCCCGGACCAATTTCAAACGATCGGTTGCTCCACACCACAAAGAGTAGCGGTGCCGATAATGGTGATGTGGGGACCGTCTTGTCGAGATCTTTCCGACACCGTTTCGTTTACGCGTCCTCTTCGACGTGGACTACTCGAGCTTTAAAACTCGGTACAGGGGGTGTGGTATCTTGCGTCAAGTACGGTAGACGTCATACATACGTTGCCCCGACCGATTTGGGTTTTCGGTGGTTTCTCTGCACAGAATGACGCAGCAGCACTTGTAAAGCTATTCCCCGCGAGCTGTGTTCATGCAACGTCTTGTGTGGTGGCTGCTAGAGGACACGGGAACATAGGACCCACGGCACGGAGGCTGAGGTGGTTAGAGTCGACAAGATGCATGCATGCGAGGAAAACCACCCGCCCCCCCAAAAAACAAGGCCTTTTGGCACTGGTTTGTTTCCAGGTGACCCCTCCCCACACACCGAAGCAGTAGCGTTGACAATGGCAACCGCCACGAGCTGTGTGTATTTCTCCCTTACCCCCGCCAGTGCTGTCTTGCCCCTCCCAGCAGTGTCGCGTGTTTAGCTGAGTGCCTCTGTTGCAACTGCGTAACTGCGTGTGGGTGGGTGTACTCATACTCATACTCATAGTCGTGCATGCCGTAGTCGTTAGACCATTGACCTCGCATCCCTACAAAGCCGGGACGGAGCACGCCGGGTCCTCAACGGACCAGGCTCTCACATCACCAAGCGTGAAGCGCCGTGAGATATTCGGCGAGTCGCATGAAGGGTGCGCTGCATCCTGCTAAGGGTGTTCGGCATCTTGTGCTTACTTCCTTGCGTACGGATGACAGCTGCGTATGAATTAATTTACTTTCTGGTGCTTTCACTTCCAGAGACAGTTGTAAGCACTGTGTAACTGCCTCGAGGGTGCTTGACCATTTTAACACAACGTGGTGCGATCATCTCCCTTGCGCGGAGTGAGGGTTCTCCACCCCGCACAACATGATCTACTCGACCACCATTATGGTTACCGCCAAAAAAAAAAACGGAGGTAAAAACAAAAAACGGTAACCTGGTTGCCGAGTTCACGAAGTGAATTGGCTTGTTTTACAACGTCTTTGCCAAACGACGAAAACCCAATCCCGATGGCAAACACCGGGGGGGGCGGCTTGTTTTACAACGTCGTTGCCAAGCGACGAAAACCCAACCCCGATGGCAAAACACCGGGGGGGGCGGCTTGTTTTACAAGGTCGTGTGGGTGGGTGGGAGAAATTCGATATTTTTGTCCTCAACTCGGCGGGGATCGGGGGGAGTATCTTCTATGGTTTTTGGGTACAAATGCCGGTAAAGCACGGCCATCTGCTGTCGGAGCACGACCAAACCGGTGTGTTGAAGAGCGCCCTATTTTTCTTCTTCGTCACAAGCCAGCAGATCGTCAATCGGTGCTCTATGGACCTCGTGCCGGTCGAGGGGAAGTTCAGGCGATCGCTTTTAGAAGCTTGGGCCCCTGGCAGGTAGAGCCTGTTTTTTCCCTCCTAGGACGTAGGGAAAAGGAATGGTCGCACTTCGCGCTCCGCGGCTCATTATTAGTACTATGTCCAAGTACGTGATATTTGTGTGTTGTGTGCTGGTGTCACCCCAGCAACATTCCAGACACAGCCGTCGCACGCACCACCAGAAGAGCATGGTGCACAAAGTGTAACAAACCAACGTTGCCACAGAGTACCTTCATCTCCTGTCATACAGTTGGCGCCCGCAGTTCAGAAATATTTCGTGAAGAAAATGAGGCTCACTTTTTCACGAAAAATAAGAAAAACGGGTTAAGAAACAAAGCTCAATCTGGGTCACACAATAAGAAATGTCTCAATAAGAAAGGAAGGGAGCGGGAGGCGCAAAAGGGTGACAACCCCCAATGTTCGCCTCACGGAGCTTGCAACATAATGACGGGGTAGTTTTCGTTGTTGGTACTACAGCGTGCGGGTGAGGCATCATGCGGTGTGTCTGCATTTGTTAGTTTCAGCCCTCACTCATGAGGGTACAGGACCTTGTAGCGGTAGCGAGACGTTGCCGCTGGATACATTTCGCTTCTAGGGAGTGGCCTTACGTGCAGCTGTCGGTAGTGAGAATCGGGGTTGAGTACGGGGGTCGAGGAAAGCAGTGCAAATCATTTGTATATTTCGAACGTTGTGTAGTATGCAAGCAGAGAAATAATAAGAAATTGCCGATTTAAGAAATTCAGCAGGATTTGGCTGCACGAAAAAATAAGAAACTTGACACAAGAAACTGAACGACATACGCTGAGTTTATAGCCCACAATAAGAATTCGAGGCTGGACCTGAAATAAGCGTTTCTTAACTGCGGGCGCCAGCTGTAGGTCGTGGGCCGAAGAACTTTGAACTTGGGTGCCAATTGTTTGCACCAGACAGCGATCTACTGCTGTAGTGGGCTTCAAGGGGTTGTACAGAGACCGGGATTGGGCCCAGGTTTCATACAATGATGCAGGTTCAACACAGCTTTCATCCTTAAACACTGTGCGTAGGCACTAGGTTACCGTCACATCGGGGCCAGTTTATTTTTCCAAGCCGAGTAGACTTGAGTCACAAAGAAAACGTGTTCTCCCGCGCCCTCTGGTTCGCGTTGTTTTCCGTGTGCCTGGCTGACAGACACGATGATGAGCACGGAGGATTTGGAGGAAACCACCGATTCTGCTCCTAACGATTCTACTCCTATTCTGGAAACCAAAGCTTCTACTCCTCCTAAACCGTACACCCCGAGCATTCTATGGTGGACCAAGAACAGGTTTGTTCGTTTGCTTTGTTCTGATTCTTTCGTTGAGAAACCGATGCCTCGAATCATGTCCTGCAGCCTGACCATTTCGGTCCCTTGCATTGTGTATACGATGACCCCGTCCGTCATGGTTGTCAGTTTGCTCTCGCACGCCGCGTAGAGGGCGTCGAGTGGTGCCAGTTCACCAATGTTTTCTTAAAACACGCACAAAAAAAAAAGAGTTCTTGTTACGGCCTCTCTCGAGTCAAGCGTAGCTATGCATACTACGAAGCATTTGTACAATTCGAACTAAAGTACACGTGTAAGTGCAGCTGAGTTTACTGATGCCGCCCCGCCCCCCCCAATCTACGGGGCGTTTCAAGTTTTAAACCATCTAGAGCAACCCCGAGGGAGCACAAACAGCCAACTGTTTTTGGAGATTTTGTTCTTCTGTGCGTATCCGGCAAATACTATCTTTCGGAGGGCGGTTGCGGTTGATGACACTCAACTTGGGGTGGTGTAGTTACTGCTGAGAGTCGGGACCTTCACTGGCCATAAGACAAGGCCGACTAGAACGCTCTGGAGCACACATACCGCCGTGCGCCGATCCGATAATTCCTGTTTTCCAACCTCCACGGACAAGAAGCGTGTCGGAATTTGGGGCCAAAGCTGCAGCAGCACCAGCAACACCAGCATTGTATCGCGGCTTCAAGTTGGAGTCTGGTTAAATCCGCATACTGAGAACGTCTCGCGTGCACCACACGCGGGAAACAGATGGAGGTATCGTGCCTAGGAACATTTACATATGGAGGTCAAAACACAATCAAACTGATTCTGATTCGTCCACCCGTGTCCTCGGTGGGTGCACCGAAAACAGGGAGGAAGAGAACAAAAAGCTTAACTTGTTTGCCAACGCTGGCTTCTTGGCGGGCGTGGCGCTGTTTACGATCGCTGTGGTCTTCGGGGTGAACTCGGTGAGAGTTTTTGTTCCTGTGTTTGGATGTTAACGGCGTTGTTTCGGAGATGTTTCCACAAAACGCGAGCATCGAACGACACTGCTTCTTGTTGTTTCGTGGAAAAATCGAACACACACACAATGCACTTTCACCAACGTATGCATGCAGAATATGAATGTAAGAGTAATGTGGGGTGGTTGGTTTTATTTATTATTTGTAGTTTTGCCAGGGAGTATTGATTTGTGTCTTGTCGACAACTGGGAACCACCAACTCTCGAGTCCAAAGAAGCTACACAACACGTGGACGGGAGCTCGCGACAAAGAGGTGAACTCTGTTTGGGGTGCTCGGCAGAGTATTGTCTATGAGGCCTCCGAGGGGTTACATGGATGATGATGAGGTTATGATGGACATGACGCGCGGGGGCCGTCTTGCCTCCCTCATGCCTGTCAATCGGTAGTTGAGTAGCTTGAGTCAATATTTTTTCTCTTTCGGCCTCTGACGAAGCTAGCTGGTGCACCCGAACATCCAATGTCGCCAATCGGCACGGGGAAAAGGAGACCCAGACCAAGCGACCGACGTTAACTGTCGCACAAGGCGAGCAAACAGAGCAATCATTTTTGTGGCAATTAAATCACAACCAAAATGTTTCACTTGACTGAGAAAAGAGACTGCGAGAGGGGGAAAGAAATTCATAACCTTATCCCTACAACCCCCTTTTCTCGCTCCAAACTTTCCAGGAAGTTTCCCGGGGCTGGACCATCGGAGAATACATTCTTCGGGTGCCGCTGGACAACTGGGACGGTTACTCGGAGATGCTGAGGCAAAGCCCGGTCCAGGTGAAGGCCTGCACTAGTGGGATCGTCTACGCCCTGGGAGACCTGGTAGCGCAGTCGATGGAGGGTACGGAGCTGGCGGAGATCGAGAGGCAAAGGGTGGTTCGGTCGGCCATGGCCGGGCTGCTGCTTCACGGGCCCCTGAGCCACGTCTGGTACAACGTGTGCGAGGGGCTGTTCGACATCGTTGGTTGGAACGAATACTGGTGAGTGTTTGAGCTGCCGCCGTGTCAGTGCTGCTGCTGCCGCCGCTGCTGCTGCTGCTGCTGCTACTGCTGTTGTTGTTGCTGCTGCTGCTGCTGCTGCTACGATGGCGGCGGTGCAGGCGACTGTAGTCGTCGTTGTTGTTGCATTGGTCGATGTGCGTGAGAGATGTTGACCGAAGGGAGGGAAGGTGTTCGCGTCGACAGCGAGGTGTGGTGTCGCACCAAGAATGCGAGGCTTGTTACAAGAGCGTAGGGTACGTGACACGCTGTTGGCGAGAACAGGGGTGATTTGGGTCGGACCTGTGAAGGTCGTGATGACGTGTGCACCAAAGATACAAGAGCCACCGCATGTTTTTACATCAATTCGGTTTTGTTTTTTCATGGAAAACATGGACGTGACGATAGAGACGGATTCCGCAGCGAAAACGAACAATCTTGCCCATTCGAGTTCCTCGCTCCACGCCTCTCGCACGACCGGGGTCTTCTGCAGAGGGCATAGACAAGAATGCCAAGAAGGTTGTTGCCTCCTGTGCCTTCCTGTCCCACGAATGACGAACAACGCACACGTTGGGACGACCGCGACAGGTGGGTGCCAGCGCCCAAGATCATCACGGATCAGCTCCTCTGGGGTCCGGCCTGGAACGCGGTCTACATCGCCTTCCTCGGCGTGCTGAACAAGGACTCGTCCGCAGTGATATGGGAGGCGATAACCTCGACGGCTCTCCCGCTCGTGATCGCCGGAATCCGGCTCTGGCCGTTGGCGCACGTCGTCACCTACGGCCTGTGAGAGAGATTGAGTTTATTTTTTTTCCTTGCCAGTCCGTTCCTGGCGTGGGTGAAAACCTCTAGTTCGTGTGTACACAGAGGGAAGCGAGTGCTTCACTCTTCTTGCGCTAAAATCGAAGGCAAAGTACCGCAGGAGGAGGGGGAAAGCGTTCTGTGTGACCACGGGTTGGAAATAGATTGCACAGGTGCTATGAGCGCCTATTTGAAGTGAAGACCAAAAATCAAAAGTCGGTGTGCTTGTTTGTGCTGGACCACATGGCAACCGACCCGTTTGGTGGTCCCTTGCTCGCCTTCCGTGCGTGTCGTGGGCCCACATCTACGACATCTACGATGTCAGTGCAATCACGGAGTAGTTGTGAAATCGAGCGCTGCTCTTGTCGCCACAAAACACGAACGAAACTCCTTGTGTTCCCCATCTTCTCCGCCCCCGTGCCACATTGTTCTGTTTTTGTTCCGTCTTGTTTACCAGGGTTCCGAAAGAGAACCGGCTCTTGTGGGTCGACGCTGTTGAGATCGTTTGGGTTACGATCCTGAGCAGCCAGGCGGCGGAGCAAGCGCGATCTCCCGCGGAACAGGAGGAAAGCACGAGCTGACCCTTGTCTTAGACCTCGTCCCCCACCTAAACCCGGAGATGAAAATGAAGTTTCGGGCTGAAATCCTCTTCCGGAGTTCGTCCTGCGTATACATGAAGATGAAAATGAAATCGTTGCCACGGAGCGTTGAGGAGGGAAGCAGATCAGATGACCAGGACTGCTGTCCTGTGATTCCCGCGATGTGGGTAGCACCAGAGAGAGAGAAAGAGAGGGAGAGAGCCGGCTTGTTGGCGGTGTGTCTCCGAGGAGTAAGAAGGGGGCCCCGACTGGAAAGGGGGATGAAAGTCTTGAAGCGAGCAGCAATTGCGTATGCCCCCCTCGCCCCTGCCCCGGCGCTGGGGGATTCATTCTCAACATGCCCTTTCAAGACAACTTTTACTCAAAAAAATGAGAAGACGCCTGGGGAGCTGGAGCGGTTGACATTTTGCTGAAGCATATACTTCTTCCGTCAGAAACCACGCGCGCATGGTAATTCTTGTTTGGTTGGATCGAGTAGAGCTTGCGTGTGCCAAGACGTGAGCGCACTCTTGTGGTGATTGACCGAGAGGCCCCGCCGCCGTCGACCTGTGTATGATATGTACTTGTGTGTGAGTGTGGTTTATCTTGCTTTTTGCAGTGACTGAGCTAACCGGTTGACCAATGAAAAGGCGTGAGGCTTGAAGCGGGAGAGAGAAGGAGCCAATAAAGAGTTGGGTCGGTGGCAGCGTCTTGCGTGGCGGCTACTCTTGAAGTTGGCCAGGACCGTCGGTTGAGCGCATGATACACCTTCTTTGAGGGGGGCGGCCGCAGCGGTGTCGCAGCTGTGTGTGTTTGTTTTTTTGCGCGCCCTCCTCCTTTGCGGGTGGGTGTTTGTCCGTGGTATCGAGAGGGAGAGGAAGAGGCCACGTCTCCTGATGAACGCCGGATTTTTTCGGATGATGTAGGTCTGTGGATACAGGAGGGAAGAGGGGGTTTCCCGGTGGCTCGGAGGACAACGAACGGCATGTATGTGTGCTTCGCTGTCCTGACGGCGCTATCGTTTGTGGCCTAACTGTTTTCGGTCTTCGACCTTGAGTATTTTTACCTGGTAGGTTTTACGAGAATGGGGGGCTGGACGAGAGCCGGTCAGGCGTTCTTCCGTACCATTTCCGTACCATGTCGAACCGGGTGTTACGGTGTCGAGGGCACCACAAATGTGATTGCGATTGGGTCCAGCAGTGAGTAGTTTGCCTTTTGTAGGGCAACTGTAAATAGTTGTGATTTTTGTTTGGTGAGTCCTTGCTTTATCGGACAACGCACTTCGATGAGCTTTAAAGGAGAGGCGTATTCGATGCACGCGTGTTTGTCGTTTTGTTGCTCCCTGCGTGCGTAAAAAGGCTGCGTATATCGTGCGGAAAGCGTCAAAACCCGTCCGTTTTGTTTGCTGTTGTTGAAAACATTCGTCCTTCCCGTCGCGTGACCCGAAGTATTATTTTTGGTTTAGCTTGGATGTGGGTGAGCGATCGTTTTCTCTTGTGGGGATCGATAAGTTTTCAGTAGAAGCGCACTCAACTCTGGCTTTCTCTGTTCTTTTTCTTTTTTTTCTGTTTGCTGCGTTGCGGGAGTGTGCATGGGGAGCTTCGATCGTTCCTTTTGTTGTGCTTTTTGCTTGATCTCATGCTCCGTAATGTTAATTTCCCTCCCACCCCCCCCTTTCTGTGCCAACTGACGGTCCCCGCGCGAAGAAGTTCTTGCACAAATGGAAACCGAAATCCAACCGCCTTGTTTTGCGGTTCTTGTTTTTTCCGCTGGTGTGGCGCACTGCTGCTGTGCGAGCTGCCGCATCAAAGCCTTATGTAGTGGCGGCATGTCCAGAACATGGAACATTTGGTGTTCTTCCTGTGGCGCAATAAATAGTAGCGCCCACCGGGGCATGCGACCCTCGCCTTGCCTGGTGTTCACCAATGTGTTGCGGTTCACTGATCCGCGAAGGAATCCGCATGAGTTATCATCTAATTCCTGATGCTTTGCTGCTCGTGCAGGAGTAGACCATGGCAGAGCAGTGTGCACCGGGACACGACCAAGCTGGTACCAAATTGAGTAGGTCTGATGTTTTTGATTTCGGCTTCCCTACGCTATGCGGATTGTTTGCGATACGAGGTCTCGGTTGCGTGTTGTGTCCAAGGAGTAGTCCCACGTCGCGAAACAAATGCGCCTGGAGCGATCCGCCAACACAGCAAGAACGAATATACTTCGTTTTCCTCGTAATTTAACTTCTTTTTCTTCAGTTCTCGTCTTCGTGAAACCCATCCATCTACAGGATCGACCAAGTAACGCCCTGAAGCAACAAAAAAAATACACTCAACATCCACCTAACGAGAGCAACAACAAAACAGGCAACGAGAACTCCACGCTTGTTCCTCCTGGGTGCCGTGAATCACTCCTCCCGCGAGCGCTCGACGCATAAAAAAACACGCGCGCCTTGTTATCCCCCACGCCCCAATCCGTCGTCCGGCTTGCCCCTGCATGTCCTAAACAATCTACTACCAAACACCGCTCTCAGCTCTGAACGGGACTACGGGTACGACCACAAATAGGGGACGCAAACTTGAGAGGGGAACGGGACAACAACGCAGGCGCAGACGAGGGGGGACGGCAGACTGTTCCCTACAAGACGCACACCATTATTTTCCCTGTGGAGTGGTGCACGGCAACAAGTGACGCCGACGCCCCCCCCCCAGCACCTAATCCATTTCTGTTTTTTCTCAGATGGTCCATAACCTAGATGAGCAACTGCTCGATCTGGTCCTTGAGCGTGAGGATCTGGCTCTTGAGCTGTGAAGCCTCGTTGGTGGTGACAGAGCAAGCAACCACGGGGCGAGAGACACCGCAAGCCCGTCCGAGAGCCACCTGTTTGATTCACACAAAACATTAAAAATCCGAGAGGAAGAGTCACGCAGCAGTAGCGGCTGCAGTCAAAGTGGGATAAGAGAAAAAAAAAAAAGTGACAGGAACAGCTGGAAGACGGGGAGGGGAATGCGGGCGTTGCAAGTGCTTGAAGGGCACAGGGAGTGAAGGCCGTTCCGTGGCTGTACAAAGACGCGCGTATCATGAATCAACCGGGGCATTGCGTGGAAACGAGGTTTGAAAGGGGGGTGAGCCGTGCTACGCATACATGGAAGCACGCGTCCCCAGCGACACAGACGACAATGAGGAAGCAAACGTATGTGTACGCTAAGGCATACCTTCGACGGGACAAACACGTACGGCACGTTCTTGTCCTCGCACAGCAAAGGGAGGTGCAGGAGGATCTCCAGCGGTTCCGCGTCGGCTGCCATGACGATGAACTCGGAGATGCCGCGGTTCAGGGTCTTGGTAGCTGTGCGTGTACGAGGTGACGGCAGAGGGTGCGACGCGTGTGGGGAGGGGAGGGTGGGGCGTGTTCATGAGGAGCAGCAGTGACAACCAGCATGGCTTGCACAATCCGAGACTTCTCTTCCTCGGAGACTTTTACGTCCATAATTTGATTGCCCTAATGTACGTACAACATGGACCTTTAGAAGATTAGATACATGACTCAAAATCTTTGCAGGTTTGTAGGAATTTTGGAATTCCAACCACAGCGACAGCTCCTGAGAAAGTGACTGCTCCCTTAAAGAGAATGGAGAGATGTCCCCATCGGGACTTCGCACCGTCCCTTCTTCCCCTCGCTGCCTCGGCAAGGTTTTGCTCAGGCATGACCCATAGCGAGGGGGGGTGTCTTTCTAGCGAGCAGGGCTAGACTCACCCTCAAGGGACCGATACCTTATTGCTGCGGCGCGCCCGCCGCGAAGCGTTCGTAGTGGTGGAGTTTGGGTCGGCACTGGTGCGTCAGGTACAAAGGTGCAGATGCGCGGGCCTCCAGGCCGTCCGTGTAGGCAGCAATGCCCATCTCATCTTTGTGCGCGGAGGCAGACGCCATCAGAAAGGTGGACGGGCATCATGTACACGGCCCTAGGTTTGCTAGAGGGAGCTGTACTGTCGCAGTAACCTGGCTTCGCCATCAAAGGAGGAGGGGACAGGTGGTGACGAGCTGATTGGGCTGGTTGACCCTTCGGCGCGAGAATTCTCAGACCAAGAACCCAAAGTGCAACGAGGGAGAAAGCGAGGAACCGACTGGGGAGGACAGCAACGAGAGCGTGTACGAAGCGGAGTGGGTCGAGTTTGGTCGTTGTAGGACTGGCCACAGCGGCACCGGAGCATGCGGACGGCATCGAACCGTGACGCACGGACAAACATCTCTCGTCCGTTTTTTTCCTGAATATAGGTGTTGGGTGTGTGTGATGACGTCACTGGTTTTGTAGAGAGACGGCAGAGATGGCGCGGATAACCCGGGTGCCTTAATTGTGTACCTGCATCATGGAAGACCCCTTCAATGTGGAACGATTCCTAGTCAGTGTCGATGCTTACACTGCTGTGCCTAACACAGATGATCTGGATATATTCGGGTGATTGTCAATGCAATGATGGCTTTGGTTGGTTGTTCTTCGTCATTGGATGTCCACGGACTCATTCCGACAGCACTTCAGACAACAGCTGCATGCCCCGAGCTTGGGTACCATGCACCAGGGTTTTATTATTGTACAGCCAGCAATTCAGACAGCAGTACGCTGTAGTCGACAAACATTCATTTTGGTTGAGAGCGGGACAAGGGGGGTGGTGCTGCTGCTGTAGTCGAATTGTCGTGTGTGGGCGTGTAGTTCAGTTGTGAGGACGCAAACGTGCTGCAGGAATTGTAGGTGTACCTCCTCGGGCTTGTGTACCCTTTTCTTGCTAATAGTGTGGGTTCTTTAGATCTTCTGATGGCTCTAGTATTTTTGTGACCACGGACCAATTCTTTGCTAGATTTTGGGATTAGCATCTGACACGAGTTTAATGTGAAGAAAACAACAACAACAACCGTCGAAATCTGAATGTGAGAAAGGAAGTCTATCGTGCCTGCAGACACGCGCAGGCGGTCCGCGCGGAGGCATCGACATGGTGTAATCTGCGCGCGTGCTATGATAAAAATTTTAGCACTAGACAATGAAGTGCACAACGACTAGTCGGGGAAATGCGGCGGGTTTTATGTCTCGCGTCGCTTTGTTTTTTACTGAACGCGTGGGTCTTACTGCCAGCACGACCGCCGACTACCGTAGGTTGCATAAGATACCTTAGATACCACACCCCCCCAGAAAACGTACCCAATACCACACCCGTGTGCTATTTTTTCCAACCCCGAAAGAAGCGTCATTTTATCACACGGTGACATAAGATACCACGCCCCCTGAAGTTGGACCGCGTATTATCGACGGAGCCCCCGCTTATCACACGGTGTGACAACGTGAGGGCATGAGATCACAAGCAACAACCTACTCGCAAAGGCCGTGGAGGCCAACCATGCCGTGGAGGGTGGTGCAGTTAGCAACCCTGCTGAAAGCCCCGCGGCTCAGACTGCTGTGGGTAAGACTCCAGCGGCGGCCCCACGCTCCATAGCGTCCTTCTTTCAACCCGCCCCGCGGGAACGTGGGGCTGCTGGGACGACTTCCTCAGTAGCTGCGCACGACACCGCACATACTGGGGAGGCTCGCCCAACAGAATTTACCGCTGCTGAGACTCCCACATCATCGGCTGCGCCTGCCACCGTGGGTGCCGCTGAAACCTGCGAAGCAGAACCTACCGCTGAGACTCCCGCAGCACCCACACCCGCACCCGAAGAGGCAGCTCTCCCGCCAACCACCAACACCCTGAGCGCGGCTACTGCTGAAAACCCTGCAGCAGCACCGCGCTGCGGACAACCACCGTGTACCAACAAGCCCTGTTATCATAAACCCTTCAAGCCGGGTCCTGTGAGCGCGCTTTACAACACGGGCGACGGTATCACACCCCCTTGCTGGTGGGGCTCTGTGAGTGCACTTTATCACACTGGTGACAGAAGATATCACACCCTCTACAGAATACCACACCCGTGTGATAACTTTTGTCCCCCCAAAAATGTTGTCACACGGGTGCGGTATCTTACGCAACCTACGGTCGACGCTGGGTGGTGATGTGTTCTGTCTGTAAACTGGATGGCACAGAAAAAAAAAGAAAACAACGGTTAGTCCTCCACGCCAACGATTGCTCGCACACGCGGGCAACCAAGAACGCTCTCTTCCAAGGTTGTCCGGGGGGTAGCGTGCCAGACTGTTCGGCGGCAACTCAAACGCCACGCCCGCCCAACCGACTACATCTGCGATTGGTGTATGGCGGAGGATGACACATGACAGTGAGGCAATGTCATCAACCAACGGTGTTTCCGTCAATGCGTTTAGAACCATAGGTCTCCAGGTCTCCCGCTACTCCGAGGTTGTGGCCTGCTGTAACAAGGGTCAACATGAGCGCCGTGTGTGCTTTTGTTGTGTGCTATATGTTGCCGGCGGCGTGAGCGCTGGGTGGTGGCGGCGCAACCTGCGACGAAGAGACTGCTGGATCCTGCGACGCCGGTGGTTGCCAAAAGGGGCACGTCGCGACTGCTGCTGCTGCTGCTGCTGCTGCTGCTGCTGCTGCCAATGCCACGCACAAAACCACTTGCTGAGCCGGCAAACGCCCTCACGATAGAAGCCTGGCAGGGTTACTCACCCTCGTTGGCACCCTTCTTGAGCTGCTTGTAGTTGGACGCCTGCTGGATGAGGTCCAAGATGGTGACGGTGAGGTCGGGTCCAGTGAGAGGGTAGGCCTTAGGGTTCACTCCATCCTCCGCCATCTTATTACAAAATGAAGCCGCTAGGGGTTCTGAAACAACAAGTAGGAGGAGAGCGGGGAGAGGAGGAGAGAGATAAAGCGTGTGCGTGGTACCCTCAAAGCCTTGCTATCATTGGGTGGTGTGAATGAAAGGCCGGCCTGCCACAAAGGGGCAGCAACAACAATCAATCAGGGATGGGGTCGCGGCAGATAGCGCAGAACCTAATATGCACCCTCCACCGATCGAGTGACCGTCAAGCTCGTCGCCCGTACACATGCCCAGCGCCATTGCAGCAGAGAAGAAGCGGTTTGACGTGACTTCTGAGGCGTCTTACAGGAGCGCACTTGTGCTGGTCGATGGTCGGTAGCGTCCTCTATCCCGGGTCAATACTTACGCGAGCGGCTAGGTCGGCAGTGAGGCATTGGCTGCACACGATAAAGGGCAGATCACACGACGAGCTTCCTGTGTTGAACAGGGGTGCTCTGCGCCCCGCTCTCTGCTGCTCCCGCTCCCGCGTGGACTATCAGCGAGACACAGACTGACACCCATCGCCAACAGCGACAGGTGCTTAGCCGGCTTCTGCTGAAGAAGATAGAGCGCTTCCGAAAGCTGGAACCACAACTGGAGAGCACACAGCAGTGCGACAAAGTGTACCGGTGGTGAGAGGTCTGGATGTATTTGCTGTGCTGCTGTTGTGCGCTGGAGAACGTAGGACGGTATTCACGACCACCGCTGTTTCTCTCCTTCTGCCTTCCTCTCTGTCTCTTCCTATCTACGCACAAGCAATGGAACCTCCTGACTGGTAGGCGTCTAGGACGGCTCTTCCTCCTTTATCCGCATGTGTTCGGCTGTGACTGACCCTGAGAGTATGGAGGTGTTGCATACGCAATGGCGGCTGGTGCAGGGTCAAAATATGTCGCAACAACTTTCCCGAACTTCAATTCCGAAACGGCTTGTTTGCACTACTGAGAGTGCCCGCACAGATTGAACGGGCGTGTGTGCAGGAAACAGGAAACCATAGCGTGAAGGCTGACTTCAACTGGAAATTCACGGGGTAAGCAGGGAACCATCGCCTATTGAACCGTTTCTTTCATGAAGATACTGCATTATTGGACATGTAACTCCAAGCGATGTATTTCGTCCGCTCACTTGTGCGGTTCCATCGGTTCCATTGCCTTACAGCAGGTGCGGGCACCCCTACTAACTACTGCAGCTACAACACCTTTCTTATCCGAGGCATCGGGAAAATCGTAGTCGATGAACAACCACCACCACCACCGCCAACGCCGAGAGTAGGTCGTACGTCGTCGGGGAAACCATGTCGCCGCCGCCACCGCTGCACCCGCCCCAGCCACCGCGGGGCCTGCGCGATACGATCGCCGCCGCCGCCGCGGTGCCCATCGCCGTCGCGGCCGCTGTAATCATCGGGAGCGGCCTCCCAGGGGAAACCGTCTCGTCCGCGCTCGTTTTCCCGTCCCTGCTGCTGCTCGCGGCGTGGTCATCACCCGCGGGGCTAGCGCTAGTGGTAAGAGTGCTTCTCGCAGAGGCTATTCGCCTGAGCGGTCTCCTAGCGGAGGAGCAGGAGGAGGTGGAAGGTCACGAGCAAGGAGAGCGCGGGTCGAGAAGGAGCAGCTCGGAGCTCCAGCGGGGCCACGGCTGGGAGGGGGTTAGGGGGCGGGCGGCCGTGCAGCAGTGGAAGTGGAATCACCGCCGGAGGCAGAGGCCCGAGCAGGGGGAGGAGGAGGAGGAGGAGGAGGAGGAGGAGGAGGAAGAGGAACTTCAGAGTGAGGAAGAGGGAGAAGGAGATGAGCGTCGTCAGCGGAGGCATGCGAAGGAGCGGCGGGTGGACGTGGAATGGGAGGGCGGGCAGCTGTTTTTGGTTCTTCGCCGGGCGGTCGCGTCCGACTTCCTAATCGATCTCATCAACAGGTGAGTGACCCTTTGGCGTTACGGGCCGACGTCTAGGGTTGTTGGCAATTCAAGCGACATTGGCAATCATCAACGGTCGAAGGCGGTACCGTATGTGGTGCGAGTGATCGCACGCCCACTAGGGCCTACTTAAGTAGCCCGATTGCTCCACACCCAATAGCGCACGACGACTATGGAAACCCATTTCGACGAGAAAGTGCCGCAACAACCACCCTCTTCCGCAGTGACAAGGCAGCCTTGGTCGTGGAGCAACCGAGCCGTGAAGCTCGGCCTATTGTAGGGGCTGGTGCGACCACTCGCACAGTTACGGTACCTTGAAGTGGTATGCTGCTGCCCCCCACACGGGCCTATCATTCGTCGCCAAAGAGGCGACCAACTAGCAACGCCGTTTTCACGGGCTTGTCAATCGTCGTCAAAGAGCCGACCAACTAGCAACGCCGTTTTCGAACTACGAGCGACAATAGCCAGGAGTCTGCGCCCTCTCTCTTCTCCGCAGACGGAGGACTAAAGCCCGGGTCATGCCCTAGATCCACCAGCTGGATCTACTTGACGGTGATGCTTGGCGTAAGACATAGCAAAACCCAGGATCCTCCGGCCTTGCATCTCCTCGAGATGAAGCAGGTGGCATCTGTTAGTGCAGCCGAATCAATCTCTACACCATCACAGCACGCACCGTCGGACACGTGCTCTTCCATGTTTACCGTAGGTTGCACAAGACATCACACCCTCTGGGCCAATTTTTGAAGCTCGATATCTCGGCAGGAACAGCAGTGACGGTGCCGAAAATGGCGAAATGGCGGCGTTGGAACAGTCTCGTCGAGAGCTTTCCGATAACGGGTGCTCCTGCAATTTCGGCATCCTCTTCGTCGTGGAGTAATTGAGCTTTAAAAATATTGGTCCAGGGGGCGTGATATCTGATGCAACCTCGGCATCTCGCTGCCACCACATAGCGTTTTAACATGTATTCCTAAGACTGTTGTCGTATGTTCTGGTGCGGCTTTATTTACTCCATTTTCCATTATATGAACGATGACGAAACGAACAGGTACATGCACGGTCCGATCCCGATGAAAGTGGAGAGCTGCCGGGTGGAGATGCTGAGGGCGTGCCTCTCGCCGTCGCAGATTCTACGGCAGGGGTCTTTTCAGGCGACGGTCGTGGGTCTGAGGACCTTTGGTCGGAGGACTCACGAGGACGAGTGGGACGAGGTGTGTATGCCCAGAGGGATAAGTGCTGCACAAGAATGAGTAGAATCGACTTCCGTCGTGCCTTCATGTCAGGCGTTGTTTGTCTATCTCTGTCAACGCGTCACGTCCTTGGGTTGCCTTCCCTGAACGATGTCTGCGGTACAGACGATCGTGCGTCCCACCCAAAAGATAAATGAGGCCTGTCACGGACCTCCCGTAAAAGCGAGGGGCCTCGCCCGAGGGTACAGTCTACACAGTACGGTACCGATTGGTTTTGTGCCGCGCCCGGTTTACGTTGCCTGTTCCAACGAGACCAGCACGCAAACAGCGCCGACGGCAGGCTGCTGGGAGAAGTCGTGTTTCCAGTCCATATCCGCACGCTTGAAACTGACACAGAAATCACACGCCTCGGTGCCCAGTATGGAACGTAGTAGTGTCGCGACACGGCATCGTGTATCACGTACTTCCATTTGTTGAGTGGAATGAACAGGTGCAGCGCCCCGCGTACCGTGACGCTCTTCCTTTTGCCAGCCTGCCGGTACGTCTAGGGGTTCTGCGCGACTGTACAGATGGTTCACTCCTCGAGGTCGTATGGCCAACTGCTGGCCGATTCACGGTCGGTGGCGCTTGAAGCCGGAGCAGGTCTCACCGGGAAGGTTGTGGTTCAGAGATACGCGTGCACTCAGACGAATGTTTTGCCAAACGCCAGACCGCGAGTTCGTCCCCGCAAGGCAGAAGCAGGGGTTTGCTCCCGCTGGAGCCGCCCGTGCTTTGATGAACAATATAACAAAAGTTCCGACAGCCGTGAGTTGAACATGCACACGCAACAACAGCAGCAACAGCAACAGCAACAGCAACAGCAACAGAACAGCAACAGCAACAGCCAGCAACAATGACAGCAACGGAGTGCTCACGGTCGCTTTTTGGGGTGCTACTCCCCTCCCCCCCCCCCCCCCCCCCCCCCCCCCCCCCCCCC